TCCTCCTGGGCCGGAACCTGAGGCGCCCTTTGACCCATCGACCCCGCGGGGCTGCCGCCCCGTCTGCGGGGGCGGAGCGTAGACGAGGCGCGGGAGGCCTCTAGGCCTTGGCAGGCACCTGTGAGGGACACACTGGGGAGCAGGGGTCACCTTTACAGGAGACCCAGATTTAGAGGGGTACCCCCACTCCCCTGCCTGACAGAGAGGAAGCGAGGGTGACCTAACGCTAGGTTCACGGGGCTACCATTCCTCACCTGGGGAGTATGGCTTTTATGGAAGCCAGAAGTGTCCGTTTGTCCCAAGTTTTCCCAAGACAATTAGAAATTTTAACAGCACTCCCCATTTCCCTATCAGCACCTCTCTGCCCCACCCCACCCAGTTCGGGCCGAGAGGCCCTCAGTCCGGGGGAGCAGGGGCCCGATCCCCCAGATCTGTGGGTTAGGGCTGGGCCAGAAGAAGATGAGGACGGGCTGAGAGGGCTTTCCAAAGGAGGCACACTGCTCCCAAGTTACCGCCCCCCTGACTTGGGTATCAAAGGAGATCATGCCGGGGACCTTCCCAAAGCCTTGGCTGACCAGCTTGCAACGCTCCCGACGCTTCATTTCCATTCTCTAGGCTTTAGCCCCACCGCCCTCTTATCCTAACAAGCCCCTCCCTACGTCAGGTTCCTCGCAGTTCCTCCTGCCTCGATTGCCTGTTTTGGCCAGCTCAAACGCAGCCTCTTCCGGGAGGCCCTCCCTGATATTCTGGCAGATAGACTCCTGTATCTCATCACCCTGTCTGATTCCTTTGGTCCCTAGCTCAGGCTGAGATCCTCTCTCCAGTGGGTACGCGAGAGACCAGATGACAGGGGCCGCGATCCACCTGCCCGGCAGTTCCTCCTGCCTCGATTGCCTGTTTTGGCCAGCTCAAACGCAGCCTCTTCCGGGAGGCCCTCCCTGATATTCTGGCAGATAGACTCCTGTATCTCATCACCCTGTCTGATTCCTTTGGTCCCTAGCTCAGGCTGAGATCCTCTCTCCAGTGGGTACGCGAGAGACCAGATGACAGGGGCCGCGATCCACCTGCCCGCATCCCGGAGTTG